ATAGTAGCTTCGGCTGCTGGGAGGCCGAACTGGGCCGTTTTCGGCCCACAGGTGACCGAAGCACAGCTTTTCGGCCAGGCTACGGCCGAAAAGGTGCGGATAAGCCCCGCCGACGCCAGCGCTCTGTTCTTCTTCTTCGTTTCCCTTTCTCTCTCTCAGTTCTTCTCTACCTCGCCCCCCCGCGCCGATCTCCTCCATTTGCCACTCATTTGCAAATCCAACCCACAGAATCGGTAGATCATCGCAATCTCCACCGGCCTATGGTGTTATTTTTTGCTATGGGATAGTTTTTGATGTGTTTGGGGAGGAGTAGCCATGGTGGGGAGGAGGAGCCATGGTGGAGAGGAGGACGGGTAGTAGGTGGTGGTGACTAGTAGAAGCTGCTGCAGAGGAGGAGGTGGTGAGGAGGAGGAGCAGGTTAGGGGCTGACCGGAGTTGGCGTTGCCGTTCTCCGGTGGTGCAAGAAGCGTACACACACTTCGAAGGTATAATCACGGCCTCACAAATATTATGTAAATTGTATAGTTTAGTTAGTGTATATAAGTCATATTGTGAATTTTAGTGTCAATAAATTTTTGGAGGCATTTTAGCGCATAGTTCGTGTAGCGGATAATATTAGTGTTCGTTGTGAATTGCAGTGTTAATATAATTTTGGAGGCATTTTAGCGCATAGTTCGATATAATGAGTTGGGGGTTGATCTTAGCGGATAATATTAGTGTATATTGTGATTAATGAGAAGATGGCAATGTCTGACAGGTGAAAATGTCTGAATCAGTAAATCTGAATGTTTACTACGGCGCTGGTAATGTTCGATATAATGAGTTGGGGGTTGATCTTAGCGAGTTTAAAAATGGCGTCATGACACTAGCTGACCCGGACAGACTGGACATTAGACAGTTGAAGTACTGGTTGACAACTAGTTTCGGTCTGGATCCTGAAGTATGTTCTGTCAGTATTCATGCATTGTGGACCAAATCCTGTAAAAATGTCAAGTGGGAGTTGATGCCGGTAGATAGGAGCCAGCATTGGTTGTCCCTGTTAAGACGCTGTCGAGACCGAAGAATCCACCCATATGCACTTGTGCAACCTGTGCCGAAGGAGGAGAATACCGTAGAACTCCACAGGGGGTATGAACCCGGCCAAGGCAGTGAAGTGGCTAACGAGATTGTTTTATCCGGGTCACAACCACAAGATGTGGATGCTAGCCAACCCGAGAAAGAGTCAGACTACGTGCCACACAATGTTTGTGGTCTTGATACTGGGCAGAGCAGCCAGTCGATAATATTAGCTGGTTCAGGTTTTGCTGATGGGGATGAGGAAGGGGATGAAATGCAGAGGGTGATGGAGGAAGAGGACGAGGATGGATTGGTGGAGGAACTGGATTCTGAAAATTCTGAGGATGAAGTTGAGGTACCGATTCCTTCTGCATGGGAGCAGGACATATCCACCGGCCTTACGGTGAACGATGGCCATGAGACTCCATGGCAGTATAATCTGAACCAAGTACAAATAGGGGCTATGTTTGATACAAAGAAAAAATTGAAGTATGCGGTGATAAAGTGGGCTATGTCTACGCAGAGGGTTTTTAAGACACACATATCAAGTCCAACAAACTATACCGTGAAATGTGTTGAAAAAGGTTGTCCAGGGAAGGTGCACGGGCACGTGCCGAAGTACGACATCCACTGGGTTGTCACCATTGTCATCCCACATAATTGTGTGAGGAAGAACCTGCTGGTGAAGCATCCGAACCTGACTTCAAGTCTCATTGCGCAACTCATGTATACTGAGATAGTTGAGAAGAAAGATATGGAAGCAAAACACATCCAGACAGCAGTGAAGGTCAGATGAAAGTATGTCATTCCTTATGGGAAGGCAGGAGACACAGACCGTGACAGACGAGGTTAACTATGGTCGTGGTTATCGCGAGCCTCGTCCACCGCCTCAGCGCTTATCGCCTTCCGGTCCTCGCCCGAGGAAGACCCAGACTCGTCGCCGCCCCCCGCAGTGATATGCTTATTATCTATGTATGACTCATTATCTATGTTAGTTTCAGACTATTCGCATATGCTTATTATCTATGTATGACTCATTATCTATGTTACTATCGCACTTCCTTCTATCTGATCAGGAGACATATATTGTTTTATGTATGCGAGAGACATATTACTATTAATTCGCATTCTTATTCCAGTTACATTTCCAAATAGATTACAACCGATAATTAAGATACAAGTACATCTGAATTAAACGGTGCGGCTGAACTTGTGCAATACATCTTACATACTACAAAATGAAATTCAGATAGAACGTAATGCCCTACAAACTGGAATACATCTTACATACTACATGAAGTCATCATCGTCATCCTCTGTTGATGCAGCCCTCTTGCCCTTCGACGATGCGGTCCTCTTGCCCTCCGTCGATGCAGAACTCTTGCCCTTGCTGGATGCAGAACTCTTGCCCTTGCTGGATGCAGAACTCTTGCCCTTCGAGGATGCAGAAGTCTTGCCTTTGGACGATGCAGAACTCTTGCCCTTTGACGATGCAGAACCCGGAAGCGGCGTCATGAAGACATCTTCGTCGTCCTCGCTCTCCTCAGTCCATAAAAATGTATTCTTTGCTGCAGTCCTTCTGAAAGTTTCACTCTTCGGCTCCACTACCTTCTTCCACCTTTTATAGATACAGAGGAGAAAATAAGGCGGGGAAAGAGTTGGCGGGAAACGGGTGGCGGGAAGGGGTTGGCGG